GTTTCACAATACTCAGGATATTCTCATCGTAAGTGTAATTAACATTCAAGTTTCTGATTAGCGTTCGTGGCAAAAATGGAATTCGAAGTGACAGTTTCACTTTTGCCGGAGTCATAAAAGAAGAGAAAATCTTTTGAAGAAAATTTATTTATTAGTCTCAAAAAAAATGCAACTTCAAGATGGCTGCCCTTTACAATGAAATGATTAAAATCAAAGGAAATGTCACATATCAATGAAAAAAAACTAAATGAATATCAGGCATCAATCATTTGTTAAAAGTTATAATGTGTCTAATAAGTGGAACAATAGAACAATTCACAATTGAAGATAAATGAAACATTTAAACAAAAGTACAACAGTTTTTAAGTATCAGCATTTTCAGTCCGACTTGACGACACTTTTTTCCACATTATATCTGGAAATATATCTGAAAATTATGGCTATGACCCTTGTTTCTTAGCACCCTCAAGAAGTGTGCTTCTCGTCATAGATCACGAATAAATCCACGTTGCAGTTCTTCTCGCATACTGCATATCAATTTATTGACTCTTTTGTAGAACTGAACGATATTTTGTTTATCTAATCACTAAGGAATATTTCTGGAAGCAATTCTTATGCAATTTTATTAGTCACAGAAGTGATTGCCTGAGAAATCGCAATTCGCAGTTTTCAGCTTGAAAATGGTCCAATCGAGCATTCGAATAGCCATTCATTGATGGAAAGATTTCGAAAGAGTTTGCTCAACAGCAGACCAAACATTCAAAACTATGAGAATGAAAGCATGTCCTTTTTGGATATGTAGAGCGTTGACTGCCATTTTTCTGAGTTCGGTTTTGACTCGGTATTTTGCTGTTATTACCGAGTTGAACGGATGTTTAAGATGAATAAAGAGAGTGGAATATCATGCAGTAATGGCCATAGTCATAGCGAGATATCGCGATGCTGTGCAGTTGAACTTAGGCTTAGGCTGATGCTCCTGTCGAAGCTGAGATATTTACTGAACCAGTAGATGGTTCGGATTGTGGTACCTGTTAAGCAAATAAATGATCCCCTGGCATGAGCTTCAGCATAAACCATAGCCCATAAACCATAAACCATTGCCATATCGCGCTCTGATTATCGTCATTTGTCATGCAATCACGTGAAACGATCAATTGATAGATGTAAGTAGTGTTCATCGGGGAGCAGTTTTTCGCACGGAGAGACCCCGCGGGGAGTAAATTAGATGGTAGGACCCTGCCGGGGAATGACCTTTCCCCGTATTCCCCGCCGGGAGGACGGGGAGCATTTCAATTTTTTTTAAGGACGGGAGCTCAATTTTTTAAAACAAAATTTCAATTTTTTAAAGATTTTTCTTCTTTTTTTAAGTAGTTTTCTTTCAAGTGCGCCTTATATTCACATTTCAAAACAAACGGCAAGACAATATTGAAAGTATTGCAGCGGTCTTTCACCATTTTCAGTTGATTGTTCGCGCTCCCTGTCCTCCCCGTCGGGGAGGACTGGGGGCTTGTCCTCACCGTCGGGGAGCGAAACTGGACGGGGGGGGGGGNCCCCGCGGGGAGAAAATTGGACGGGGAGGGGATCCTCGCGAAAAAATTGGGGAGCAAATTGCGCGGGAGGGGAGCACTCGCCGCGTTCCCCGCCGGGGTCTCCGACGGGGAGCCCGTTCGTCGACGAACACTAGATGTGTAAGTATACACATGTTTGAAAGGCATCGTCAATCATATAGTGCTTCCAAGAAGAAGGTTGTGCTTAGATTAAGTATTAGGACAGATTCGACTGAAACATTAGCAATAATCAATCCATCGCGTGAATTTATCTTATTAGTTAACATTCAAGCGAACGAATTGCACTAATAAACGCTATCTATCATCCTTCAAAATAACTTCTTCGTTCTATCTTTGCAACCATATTGCTGCCACCTCTTCAATTAACCGCTCTAAACTAATCATTCGCTCGTACTTTTTTCTCATTTCGTCCGGTCATTCACACTGTTCATTGCTTCCTTAATGTGTGAGTCAAAATCAGAATGTGTTGAAAACACTGCTAGAAGAATGGCCCATTAGAATCGGTTAACGACTGGAATCGATCGCTCATGTAAGGTCACTTTCCACGTGCCCACTGACTTTCCATCAATGGTCTTTGTTACTGTCGGTGGAGTAATTGTACAAATTCATTGACTTGACTTTCGAAAGCAACCAAGACGCAGTTAGCATCAGTCGGACTGAATTCTGATTACAGAATTGTCGCTAAGGTTATTTTTCCCGACGAAAATGAAAGATCTGATTCTCGAAACACTCTCGTCAAGATCGCTTTATGAGTGATGATGGCTGAATGGATTCATAAATGAAATGTTTTCTATTCCAGCTACAGTATATCTGTTCTCAGAACGCCCTTTTGCACTTGATTGATTTTTATTAGTTTTTGATCGCATGAAAACCATTAACAAATGAACAGTTATGTCGCGTGTTAATTGTGTCGTTGCGCATTAATGCTTAGGAACTGACTAGTCTTTTTTTTTAATTGTTCAGCGCAATTCCTGAATTAATCCAATTGAATTGTTTCATGTCGAATTGTTCCAATTGAATTGAATTCATTATGTCCACATCCAAGAGCAAGCCGAATAGATCTTCAATTGGAAACGTTTTCCTTACGATGAAACCCATCTGGGTCATTTTCATGGGCGTTCCATTCATTTCCACGCGAATGTCACGCTTCAGATTATCTGCCGGCTGAAATTGATGGTCTTAAGTTATCGAATTATACAGTTCAAGAAATCCTTCCCGACATCTTTAACATTCCTAATGTGCAAATAAATTCACAAAAACTCCTTCATTCGCGTTTTTCTTTTTCATAAGTGTGTGCCACATACAGAACTAATCAATTTCACTACTTTGATTGTTGATTTACAAGTTATTCATTGTTGGAAGTGATTCATTCTCTAAGCATAAACAGTAACCTGGTGCAACTGTCCGTGTTCTTTTTCTCGTGCTCTGTTCGGTTCAATTACAGTGAAAACGTTCGCCTCGTTGTTGAAAAGTGAAGCGCTATGAATGTTTCGATGTGTAAACTAATTGAGACTCAGACTTTTTGCTCGTCGCATCTTATCGAGTATTATCCCAACTATCACCAAGCAATTCATATAATTTCCTTTCAGAGCTGTGCAAAAACAAGCTATGTATTTGAAATGGATACCAATTATGTTCGTTAGTGTAAACGTTTCAGTTCACGGAGAACTTCCACCTGTGTATTGGAATAAACACTCAGCAATCAGGTATTTGATGAATATTCTCAGAAACATTCATTTTTGTGGCAATTTTGATCGGTATTGCATGCTTATGAGCTAAACAACCAACGTGAATACACTTCAAAAGCGCATAATGAATTTATCCAGCAGAACTGTCATTCAGTCACACAAACACATGCGTTTCCCATTCGTATCACTATTGATTCAAAGATATTATGTTTACTTATGCGCTGTTTCAATAATTTAACACTTGATTGTATTTAAGTGGATCGAATTCAGACATCACAAAGCCTGCATTCAGTCCAACGAAAGATGCAGATATAATTCAAAGACTAACACACGTCAATGACATCGTCAAGACATCAAGATTACTTCGGAGTGATGAGGTAACGTTTTCAATTATGAACGCATCAAAAGATCGGTGCAAGGAGGTCATCCTTTGGAAAAATTGGGTGAAATACTTTTTGGCAATGTTAAGATGAACGGAAAATGTATTTTCAGAGTTCAAGAAAGTATTCATCTCGTATGTCTCGAGCATGTTACTTCAGTCCGATACAATGCCTTCTCATGAAGAGGGACGACTACATGAACGATCTTCTTAAGGTTTTCTTTCGACCCGTTGATTCATTTCAGTCAAGTCACATCGTTCCGTCGTTCATTGATAAAATAGACAGTATTTTCTTGAATATAGGCTCTGGGGCTCCTAGCTTTCGGCAAGGCGGTTTGTCTTCCTAAATCCTTCTACCCACAAAGGCTTCCGAATAAATAACTACAGTGTCTTATACTTTCTGGTTTGATCAAATCAATTTGCGGACATTTTTCAAAATGAAAACAGCGAATAAATGTTTTCATGGAGAATGGTTACAGATCGGTCATGTTTACAGTGAGATGGCTAATGAAGAACAACAACGACGACAACAAACACCCCAACTGCAATCAGCACCAGATATGAACCAAAAATTTGGATTTCGTTGGTTATTCCCACGAAGAGACAGCTACCTGAGCCATGTAGAGAAAAATCTTGACCTTATTCATCTCACTAATACCTCAGTGATTAGCTTTATCAACATCCTGACTTTTTTCGCTTACATATGATCTTTCATGATGTTGCAGTTGAATATATACACAAAACTATTCGTATAAACGTCGTTCGTTGACGAGTATCGCTCGACTCCATGCGATCATCCGTCAACAGCACCAGTAACAACAACAACAACAAGCAAACATAGGGTGATCCGAGTTCATTATTTCAAAATGAATTCTGTAAGCAATGTGTTGAATAATAATAACCGTTCATTTGGGACGGACATTCCTAGTCTTATATGATTACATTCATGTTTGCATCAAATAAATGCATCTCATGTGATATCAGATCCTCATAACATCAAAAATAAAACCATGATTCCATATCGTAAAAGAGAACACAATTTTTTTCAGTGCAATCAATGCCTGATAATAAGTTCAATTACGCGCAAAACTGATGAACCAAAAAACAATGTCGGGTTGATAATGCCCGTGCAATTCGTTTCTCAAAATATTCATCGAAACGAAACAGAGCACAATTGGCCATAAACTTAATGCTTTCATAAATTGCGAGTTGATCGCTCGTTCTATGATTCAATATATCGCTCTCAAATAAGTCACCCTACGTACAAAGCAATGTGATGTGCCATACGAATATCCTATTATATCACCAATAACAGTACTGAAACCCAACACCCTTACAGCAAACATATACACATATTTAGGTACATCACAAAGAACAACCGTCTGTTGATTCGATGAATGTTGCATCGATCGGATAATGAATATAGAGATGTTCGGAATTGAGTTGATGATGAGCGTTTTCAGTGTGAGCATTTGTACAGTGAAGGCCTTTGACAGGCTCAAGATTACATCGATAAGGAGTTGGGCATGACATAACGATGAACACATAGTAAAACATTCGCTTATAGCATGCGTCAATTATTGGGTAGTAATGTTCAGTAGGTGCTAGCAACGGTAGAATATCACTCAAATTTGCTGCGGTTCTCACTTCAAACTCTCGCTGAATGTGATCACACTTCTCCTCCGTCAGCAATAATTTCAGTGAAAAATCGAGCGCCTGGAATTGAAAAGTCCAATATTGTTTCAGTTATGAATTAGTATCGGCGATCAGCATTCTCTTTTCGAAAGAACTGCACGTTGTTGTTCCACTGCTGTATTACCAGAATCATATCGGTTTTTTTTTCACGAAGGAGAGTTAGAACACGAGTTTTGCTACACTCTTTACCAATATTCTCAGACAATGCCCTTAAAAAAAAGCGATATATCCCTGTACCCTCCCCCTCCCCATCCGGATCAATGCTCATGGTATGTCAATGTTTTGGTCAGTTGCTTAGCAGCAGTTGCAGAGGTAGCTATCCTCTCGGCCAGTGCAGGAACCAAATTCGATTAGTTCACCTTCTGACAATAAACAAGTCCTCAGAATTCATAAATCTTGCAAAGTACAAAAAAATCGCGAATTGAACTTGATAAGATGAATCTTCACGAACCTCTCGTGACGTTACACGGTCGTTCTTGAACTTCGAAAGCTGAAATAAGGAAGCAATATTGAAATAACTTATCAACTGATGTGCTTTTTGTCACTGACAACGGTCTCTTCAAAGCGCATAATTTTCGAACAACATCATCGCTCTCAAATCCGTCATTTTTCAACACAAAGATTTTTGCAGAAATTCTCAACCGAATTTTTCATTTCAACAATATATCACGTTGCATTACTCATAAATAGTAAAGATTGCGATAAAATACTAATGGTCTACGATCTCATGAGCTATAAAGTAAAGGAGTTTGATGGGATAATGCCCAGTTTGAAAAACTGAATCGAGTGACAATAAGAAGACTGATATTTTGAAAAAATTCTGAACTACAAATTCTTCTCGGTGGCCATTGTTTGGAAGCAATTTTCGGCGATGGTTGTTTTCGATCGGTGTCCACCGAAAATGCCTTCAGACCGGTCAGTTGCTTTCAGATCCCGTCGGTGACCAGTAAGTTTACGATTCTCAAGTAAACAAGTTCTCTCTTAAAAATGCAATGATACTGTATAACTGACTTCATCAGAGTAATGCCACTTTCGAAAATGTGCCATAACGTTGTATTGCTGCGGGACGTTGTAGATATGACATTTATCGCTGACAGTACCAGGCCAATGAATCCACGCACTGACAATATACTCTGGATTTGCCACCCATTTACCATAGTTCCATTTATTTGTGAAGTGACTTTCTGTCAAGATATTCTTCAGTGAAAACTTTTCTGATATCCTCTCTGAAAGTTGTCTTCACTTATACAATTAATAACACACGTTACTGATGACTTGGTTTGGTTTTCATCGATCAAAAAGACCATAATGACTTGAAGCGATCATGAGGAACGTTCATTATTGGACGTTTCTCGCCCTTTCACCATTACCGACTAAAGATAACCTTAGAATTTAGGTTTAAGTGAATCACCTTGTAATCACTTCGGTGCATGAACATTCAGATGATATTGAACAAGAAGACAATGTTCAGAAAGAAACTTTGATGTAAAAAGTACGCATCACTCTCATACCTGTATAAACGTTCACATCAAAGCGTTCATAAATGAATACATGTGCGTCCGAGAATTTTTGCAGGGCTTGGAATTCTGCGAGATATGTGGGCGCGAGCTGAGGAAAGAGCATGTCATCTGGATCGGAGAATATAATGAATTGTGCTGATTCCTTGAAATTGAAACATTATTGCAGGTTTATGAATCTTGAAAATACCATTGATTCGTACAGCATGGACATCACTCAATATTTAAAGCTTTACAGGTTGATATATGATGAAACTTTAGAGCATCAAAAGTATTTTCAAGTTCATCCACACCAGTCGTTCTGACGTTCGGGTGCTCCATTACTCCTTTTGATGATCTGACATGCCACCCACCCCTCTCCAATAACCCTAAATTACCCAAAACGGGTAATTTCACTTCCGTTGAGAATCACTGTCCCAGGCCATTGTGTTGCTCTCCATAGCAATTGATTATGATTGCATGAAAGCTATTGTCTATGACACCCTCACTTCAAACTGATTCGGATGGATTCTCATTCTTTTCAGACGTGTTCTATTTACTCTCATAGCTGTTGCATGCGAATACCGTTCTCTTCATGAGTTCTCCTCATTCATTTCGTCTCATTTCATTTCACAGTTCGAATCAATTTCTCATTCAGTAGCATATACTATTTACTGATTACGTTGACGAGTGTTGACAGCCGAAGTCAACAATACAACAATCGAATATCACTGCTCAACAATGTTCGACAGTCAAACTATCAATTATAAAGTGTATTAAATAGAATGAGAATTTGACTTTAACTGCTGTGTGAAATGAATGAGGAATTAGCAGAAGAGAACACTTTTGGTGATAAAAGCTATGAGAGCGATTATAACAGTAAGGAAAAGAATGAAAACCCTATTAAAACGAATGGAAACCCTGTGGCCGAGTTAAAAAGCACCATCACATTGGCGTTCTATCATATCATAACAACTGTACGAAGTACTAAATTCCCGACCCGCTCCATTACGTCTTTACATCCCCAGATTACCCAAGATGCGTAATTTGACCTCATATGAGAACTATTGACCTGACCAGTTTTGTTGAACGTAAAGATACAGGTATGACTCAAATTGCTGCACTGACCTTGAAGTTAATCAAACAATCAGTATGTGCAGAAGCTTGATTCCTGAAGTCTAGTTCTAAGTTTGGATCGTAGTCAGACTTTATGCCGCCAATATCGATACCTGACCATTTCTCGATGGACACAAAGCCCATTTCTTCATATCGCTGTAAATATTCACTATGGCGATCGAGCATTTTTACTCATCCATATAAGGTTGAAATAAATGAGATTATCAGTAGCAAAACAGTTGCTGTGTATCACATCATTGCATATGGCTATAAATAAAATTCAGTGTTATGATGAACGATAGAAAATACGACTCACATGGAGAATTTGCATCAGCGATGTTAAAATACTACCAATATAATAAACCTGCATAGATACACCAAATGCAATGCGGAATTCAATTGAACTCAATAGCAGTTGCCATTTCTCGAAAGCGAACAATGGACTCACGCATGCCACTACACCGTGACGCTTTTTGACAGGATGACGAAATGGTATCTGAAACTTTGAAATCATTTTCATGCCTTTCATTGCGATCAAATTAGCATTAGAACTTGCGCAGTTGAACCATTCGTACAGCTCGATAACAAGTTTTAAGTTTTAACATTTAGCGTTCTAACTGCAGTGACTGATGACCATCAAAAGTACGATAACGGATCGATGAATTGAGATGCAATAAAATTCTATACCTCAGCCATTTCGTTGTTTTTTCGATTACCTTCGATGATAAACCTTTTGATGTCCTCGGTGACGTAACAAACGGCTATGAACAATGTCCATTTGCATTCGCCAGTCGTTTGAAACGCATTGTAAAAACCAATTTCAGTGATCTTCTCTACAGATTGATCGTTCGAACTGACGCATCTGATCGGTAATTCTTCCCTTGTGATGTGCTTATCAGCAGCAATCAGCGTCAACATTACGTTCCGTTGAACACTGCAAATATATACTGTTGTACAGCATGAACACAACTTGTTGAACGAACAGAATAGATAATTTGAACGAGTAGCTTAAAAGAAGTCAATCACCTTCTTTGACTGGCTGACTCATTTGCATGCGCGTTTAACGGTAATTCACCTCGACTGCAATCAACATCAGATTATGTGAGCACTTTGAACTAGCAGTGAGCGATGAAAATGATGAAATCATTACATGATGAGTTCATTGAAATAGGTTGCCGATATGACTGCTATATGCTGCGTTTCTGTTTCAGAGATGTTGTGGAAAGCGAACATCAAAACACAAGCACATAGCAGAAGAGCACAAGCTGCGATTAATACGATGAGTAATTTGATTGTGAGAGGGAAATTTCTATTATCCTCCATGCACCTGCAAAAAGACCCTTTGAACTCATTCGAAAACGATAATTTTTACATTTTTCGGCTCAGTTGGACTGATGCTTCAGTGATGCTTCAAAATAGACAGACTCTCTTAAAAATCAGAAGAAATTCATTTTATGTTTACTTTCAAAGAAACTTTAAGAAATCCATCGAGATTAACAAATGCGCTACTAGCATTCCTCACTCATAGTTGGAATTCACGCTGTCTGATTTTCCACAGATTTTTTAAATTACGGCATTTTGTACTCCCTCTCAACGACGGATATTGGATAAGGAAAAAAATCAATTGAAACCTCTCAGCTGACAATCTCAGTCGAGAATCTGCGAAGTGAGCTTTTGGTTCAAAAATTAACCGTTTCAGATAAAGAAAATCGATGCATGAAAAGATTGGATTCTTTGCGTATCCCAACTTCCTCATTACCTGCAAAAAATTCATTTTGCTCAATTCACCCAAAATGATGATATTCATATGGCGAAAAAAGTCGAAAATTAATGCAACGTAGAACAAAGTACAAAAACATCTTGGATTATATTTCATTTAATGACAACTCTGAAAAGTATGATTATGAATTGAGCAGTAAATATTGAATCGACTTGTGAGAAGATGCGAAAAGATGAACGATGAACTAATTATATAGGACGGGATTTGTTCAGCAATGAAACTGAGTGAAGGGAGCCACTGTTGATGAACGATATAATAGAATGAATTGAATGTATGACCGAGAAGATGTACTGATAAGATCTGAGTTCACTGTGCACTTGGATATCAGTTAATCGATCAGCAATTCACACCTGAAAACAGCGACGTGGAATTTAAATATGGGCAATATGGACATGACTTCATAACTGTGACTAGATTCATTAATCACAATAACTGCATCCGCACGCCCCTCCAACTCCGTACGATGCTACTTAGAGCTTTCTAACCGTCGCACCCTTAAGACTGTGGCTCTCATGCGAGATAAGCTCCCTTCTGAAGGGATTAGAGAAATTGCCGACAACAAGAGGAAATGAGGCAACTGGTAACGTCAATAGCAATGAGAAAATAGCTATAGCTCCTCAAGTAAGCCGAATTTCACAGCAAAATATATGATATTTTAATTGTAGACATTCTGCTGGATCGATTGGTGAAAAGAAATTCACATGTTTCCGGGCAAACTTGAGAAGACGGTTAGCTCGAAGATGGCAACCGGTATTCTGCTATATTAACGTATCGATTGCTGTGTAGTGATCAATGTGGATGAATGATGAGCGCGACTGCGCTAATTGAAGTAGATCTTAGAAAATTGCCATATCTCCTCAGCTAAGCAAAATCGCTCGGCAAAATATATGTTTTTCTGAATGTAGAGATCCAGCTGGATCGAATGATGCAAAAAAATTCATATGTTACTGGGCAAACTTGAGAAGACGGTAGCCTTGAAGGTGCCATCCGAGAAAGTATTAATAAAATACCTATCTCTCCTCAACTAA